GAACCCCCAAAATCACCTGAGAACCCCCAAAAATCACCTGAGAACCCCAAAAATCACCTCAGAACCCCCAAAAATCACCTGAGAACCCTCAAAAATCACCTCAGAACCCCCAAAATCACCTGAGACCCCCCAAAAATCATCTCAGCGCCCCAAAAATCACCTGAGAACCCCAAAAATCACCTGAGAACCCCCAAAATCAGCTGAGAACCCCCCAAAAATCACCTCAGAGCCCCCAAATTCCCTCAAAACCCCCAAATTCCCGCACAAAGACCCCAAAATCCTCTCCCAACCCCCATCAATTCCTCGTTAAAACCACAAATTTATCCCCAAAACCCCCAAATTCCCTCAGGAATTCCGGGATTTTTTCACAGAAGTCCCAAAATCTCCTCAGAAACGCCAAAATTTCGCAAAGAGACCCAAAATCCCCTCAGGGACCCCGCGGTTCCCTCACAGAAACCGAAAATTTAGTTCAGAACCCCAAAAACTCTTCGCAAAAACCAACATTTCCTCATAAAGCCCCCAAAATCACATCAGGAACCCCAAATCTCCTCACAAAAGCTCCAAAATCAGCTCGGAAACCCAAAATCGCCTCAAAAAAACTCTAAAATCACCTCAGAAACCCAAAATCTCCTCACAAAAACTCCAAAATCACCTCAGAACCCCAAAATCGCCTCACAAAAACCAACATTTCCTCACAGAACCCCCAAAATCGCCTCAGAAACCTCAAATCTCCTCAAAAAACCTCCAACATTTACTCGAAAAAGCTCCAAAATCGCCTCAGAACCTCCAAATCTTCTCAAAACCCCAAAATCTCCTCACAAAAACTCCCAAAATCGCCTCAGAACCCCCAAATCTCCTCGCAAAACCTCCAGAACCGCCTCAGAACCCCCAAATCTTCTCAAAAACCCCAAAATCGCCTCACAAAAAACAACATTTCCTCACAGAACCTCAAAAATCTCCTCAGAAACCTCGAATCTCCTCGCAAACCCCAAAAATTTCCTCGCAAAACCTCTAAAATCACCTCAGAACCCCCCCGAGTCCCCTCGCGAACCCCGGGATTTCCTCACAGGACCTCCAGAATCAGTTCAGGACCCCCCCCAAAATCTCCTCACAAACCCCAAAGTTTCTTCACAAAAGCTCCGAAATGGCATCAGAAACCCCCAAATCCCCTCACAAGGAGCCCGAATCTCCTCAGCCGCCCTCATCGATCCCTCAGAGAAAGCCCCGAAATCACCTCGGAACCTCCCAATTCCCCCACGGAGAGCCCGAAAATCGGCTCGGATCTTCCCGGATCCCCGCGCGGAGCCGCCGGGTCCCGCAGGGAATGCCCCAGATCCCCTCAGAGACCCTAAAACCCCTCAGGGACCCCAAATCCCCTCCCCAGATCCCCTCAGAGACCCCTCAGGGACCCCAAAACCCCTCAGGGACCCCAAATCCCCTCCCCAGATCCCCTCAGAGACCCCTCAGGGACCCCAAAACCCCTCAGGGACCCCAAATCCCCTCCCCAAATCCCCTCAGAGACCCCTCATGAACCCCGAATCCCTTCAGGGATCCCAAATCCCCTCCCCAAATCCCCTCAGAGACCCCTCAGGGACCCCAAATCCCTTCAGGAACCCCCTCATGGACACCGAATCCCCTCAGAGACCCCTCACGGACCCCAAATCCCCTCAGGGATCCCAAATCCCCTCCCCAAATCCCCTCAGAGACCCCTCATGGACCCTAAAACCCCTCAGAGACCCCTCATGGACCCCAAATCCCTTCAGGAACCTCCTCACGGACCCCAAATCCCCTCAAAGACCCCTCATGGACCCCAAATCCCTTCAGGAACGCCCTCACGAACCCCGAATCCCCTCACGGATCCCACCAAACCCTCCCCAAAACCCCCCCAAATCCCCTCACGGACCCCGAATTCCCTCACGGACCGCGAATTCCCTCACGAACCCCAAATCCCCTCACGGATCCCACCAACCCCATCCCAAATCCCCTTCATGGACCCCGAACCCCCTCACGAACCGCGAATCCCCTTCATGGACCCCAAATCCCCTCACGAACCCCGAATCCCCTCACGGATTCCAAATCCCCTCACGAACCGCGAATCCCCTCACGGATTCCAAATCCCCTCACGAACCGCGAATCCCTTCGCGAACCCCAAATCCCCTCACGGACCCCGAATCCCCTCACGGATTCCAAATCCCCTC